ATAATATCATCATTGGATTTTGAATTTCAAAATTAATTTAATAAGTCTTATTTAAAGAGAAGAATAGAGCTTAATATAAAATAATATTGTGCTTTTTGCTAGCATTTAAAATTTATTGTAAAATGCCAATGGAAAAATCAATTTTAGATATTGCTAAAGAAATTTCACACAATAGAAGTGTTGAATGCATCTCGAAAGTTATATTTATTGTCAGATACCAATGCTTTGGAAACATGCTAAAGATCATTTAGGGTATGTAAACCGTTATTGAGTGAAGAATAGAAAACGTGGTACCCATGGTGTGCAGTTTAAAATAGTCGTACACGAACAATTAAAGATAGCAGAGAGAAAAGGAGGTCTTTTGCTTTCAACTGAGTATATTGATAAACGGGAACCTCTTGAATGGCAGTTTAAAGAATGTCATAGGCAGAAGGCTTCGGCAAAAGACATTATTAAGGAAACTTGGTGTCGAAGTTGTGGTACACTTGGTCAAAAACATGCTATATCACACATTAATCTATTGACAACAAAACAGTATTGCATAGGAACGAGGTGGTATGTGCCTTTTACAGAATATATTAATGCAAGTACTAAAATTCTTGGGAATGTGCCAAAGGTTATGAATGGTCTACAACTCTTTATCTACATGTAATAAAAATATGGGTAGATGGTGCCCACTATTTACTGATGATCTTCGGAAGCTAAGGAAATTGCTCACAGTAAAGGAGGTATGTGTTTATCTACATAATATAAATCTCAGTGTTCCGATGCAATGGATGAGTAATGAGAGTCATAGATGATTTTCATGTTTTAGTTGTATAAAATGCTCTAAGAAATGCTGCCCATGTTGCTTAATAAACACGAAAAACTTGTCACGAGGTCATAACTAACATTCTTGGCCCACCTTACAGTATTCTCTGACAGATTTCTTAAAAATTCTTAAACATTCTCGAGGACTAGAACTCGACATCTACTATCACTGTACGAATTTTCTATAGAAGTACAAAGTAAACAACGTAAAGTATTTTCACAAAGACTCGGAGGAATTTGAGCGTGATCAGCTCAAAAAAGACTGCGAAAGTAATTAATTGTTTTAAGGTATATTTAGTATGACTTATATGTAGTCATTCCTGAACATCGTCGAGAATTAGGTCTTATGAGCAAACTCGAAACTTTAAGCACTTTTGTAATTCGTTATGTTTTTTGGAATGTAATTTTATTCATCTAGAGGAGAAATCCAGTCTAAGGTGGCTTAGTTGCAAAATTTTCTGTCGCACAGGGTCTATTACAGTATTATGGCTCAAACGGCAGGTCAATTACTAGGTCAAGTCGTTCCAGTTTGCCAATGGATCTCACAAAATACACCTAATCCAACTCAAACAATACCTGCTTACCCACGGTTTCCAGACAATGTGAGGGAATGGATCGGATTCTTTCGAAACGTCAGACGTGTTGATACGCAATTTCCCCTTCCAGGAGGAAATTTTCCCATTGGATTCACAAGTTCGGCACCTCTCAGGGTCGAAGACGATGCAAAAACTCGTTTATACATAAATGTTATAATGCCTGTCGAAACGTTATTACCACAAGGAATATTTGGTTCAGCACCTGACGGATTTTTAGGTGCTTCTGATTATGTTTTATCCACTAATAATTACACAGTGGCCAAGATGCCAGTGGAAATGAAAACGCTCTACAATCTTGATTTACCAAGATTTAGAGACAGAAGATTCGATCCAAATTTTAGATTCAAGAAACGTATCCTATCGCAGATACTTGGTGAAATGGCATGTAATGGCCTCCATTTTGGCATTTTATCAAATTATAGCAATACATATTTTCTCAAGCGAGAAGAAACAAATCCAACCACCCTTTATATTTCCCGTGTTGTTCAACCCACTGATACTAATCCGACTTTACGCGAATGCGTTTATTATATTAGCCAACTTGCCATTAATGATAATGTTGGTAGTAGATTGGAACGTGTAGAGCTTGACAGTTGTCCATCTAATGTTGATGATGGTGATTATTATGCTGGTTTGGGGAAGAGGAAGAAAACCTCAAAGAGCAGTGGTAAACCAATCACAAGTCCATCCAAGGGAATTGCTACCATAGATAAGTACATAGGTGGCGGATCATTTGGAAAAGTTTTTTCTGGATATTATGATAATCAAGATGTAGCATGGAAGACTTGTGATGCGAATAAGAAACAAGAGGAGATGAAAACACTAAAGCACGAAGCTCACATATATTCTATTTTGAAAGAATGCCAAGGTATTATTTTTTTTTTTATTTACTGTATAATATTTTTGGATAATACTAACTAGTCTATTACAATATTAATATTAGGTCATGATATTCCACGTTTGTTCTACAATGGTTACATTTATGACGGATATCTTTTTGCGTTAGCGTTGCAGTTAATTGAGGACGCTCGTCATGTTGATCCGGATAGACTCATTAAAGAGGAAAAAAAGTTAATATTCAATCAGCTAAAGTCAATACATAATTGTGGCGTTCTACACAATGATATTTCAGAGAAAAATATTTTATATGAACCAAAGAGTCGCCATTATTTTTTTATTGATTTTGGATTGAGTGAGGTCGTGGGTAGTGAGTCGCCAAAATTGCGCCAGGAAGAAAGAAGATTAAAAAAATTTTTAAACTTTAAATATTTGGACGCATAGAGGGGGTTCTAGACTTTTTAATACGAACCACAGCATCAAGTTTACTTTGCTTGATAAACGCGCACAAAATTTATTTTTGAGAATGCATATACGCATAATACTGTACATGCACACATCTTTAACAAATTCAAAGTGAAATCCTTATTATATTTTTTTTCGTTTTTTTTTAAAGCAATAATGGAGATGTTGGACGGTAAAATAAAAAATAAAGGTAATAAAATAAATTGAGTAGCAAAATGTTTCAAAGGAGAAATTAGTCGTGCTGTAACCCATAGCATGGTAGTTCTTAATCTCACTAATCATCATTATTATTATTAGACTATCAATAATTTCTTTACTAACTGCTCTCTCCTAATTGACATGATCTTGTTAAATTTTGGTACCTTTCCTAATATTTTCCTTTGTAAATTCACGAATTTCATGTCTCAAACGCATAATCCACGGCATATTCACTTACTTTTTTGAATTAAAAACACGCTTAAAATAGTTCATATTTTCTTCAAGAGATATATCTGACGACAAGCTTTCACGTAATCGATTTCGAAGCCTCAGATTGGTTCTGTATTGATTTTTACGATTTCCGCGGTAAGTTTTTCGTTAATTTCATTCAGCATTAATTCTAGTGATTTCCACAGAGATGATATTCTTAATTTTAATTCACGTGCGGAGAGTTCGTTGATAACCTTTTCTCCAGCATAGGACAAAAAGAAGCACATGCCGATAATTCATAAACAGAGAAAAAAAAGTCATAAAGGGGGAAACGTTGATCACATGCATTTATAACCGGAAAAATGTTCTTTGGTATATACTGTATACACGAGTGTGGAAAGGTTTCATAAAAACAAACGATAGTGTACCTTAATTCGTACGAACAAATAGATTCGATATTCTTTGCCGAAGGTAGTCGCAAGGTGGTCAGAGAAATCATTATGTAGAGAAGACATCAAATGTTTTATTCTCTTCAGAATATTTTAATTAATTAGTTTTAGCTGTAACTAGTTAGGTGCATCTACAAAGTATATAATTAAGATTATTTTACATAGTTTTGTGAACAGTTAGAGTTTAGAGATCTTTTGCTTTTCCTCTGGATTTATTCAATAAATGCTATTCTACTTAATACAATAACACTTATGTCCTATTAATTTAAATTAAGACTAATGCTGCTATAGTAAAATAAAGAAGCTTTGAGAAAGACATAAAATTACCTTTGTCCTATGAAGTGACACTTTTAATCTTGAGATTTATCTAAAGAGACAGAAAGTCAAAATAAAATTGACACGTGCAAATTACAGTAGTTACAATATCAATATTAATAATATTAAGCTCTATTCTTCTCTTTAAATAAGACTTATTAAATTAATTTTGAAATTCAAAATCCAATGATGATATTAT